ATACCCAATGCTAATTTTCACAGAAATGGAGAAAACAAGGCCGGCGCCGCAGCTCAATAGGCTAATCCTCCACCTGCGGCGCCGGCACACCGGGTTCTAGTCCCAGTCGGGGCACCGGATTCTGTCCCGGTTGCCCCTCTTCCAGGCCAGCTCTCTGCTGTGGCCTGGGAGTGCAGTGGAGGATGGCCCAAGTCCTTGGGCCCTGCACCCACATGGGAAACCAGGAGAAGCGCCTGGCTCCTGCCATCGGATCAGCATGGTGCGCCGGCCGCAGCAGCCATTGGAGGGTGAACCAACGGTAAAGGAAGACCTTTCTCTTTGTCTCTCTCTCTCTCACTGTCCACTCTGCCTGTCAAAAAATAAAAAATAAAAATAAATTAAAAAAAGAAATGGAGAAAACAATCCTTAAATTTGTTTGGAACAACCGAAGACACCCATAGTCACAACAATTTCAACACAAAATAAAATTGAAGGCATTCCACTTTCTGATTTCAGAACAGATTATAAAGCAATTACAACGTAAACAAGGTGATAATGGCATAGAAATAGAGATATAAACCAAAGGAATAGGACTGAAAAGTTCTGGCTGTAGTGGCCATTTGGGGAATGAACCAACGGAAGGAAGACTTTTCTCTCTGTCTGTCTCTCTCTCTCTCTCTCACTGTCTAACTCTATCTGTCAAATAATAAAAAAAAAAACGAAGAGGACTCAAACAGACATTTCTCAATAGACGACATGCAAACGGCCACAGATATATGCAAAAATGCTAAACATCACTAACCCCTAGGAAATGTAAATTAAAACATCATGAGTTATTCCTCATATACGTCAGAATGTCTTATTGAAAAAAATTAAACAATTGTTAGAGAAGATGGAATGAAAAGTGAATTCTTACACACTAGTAGTGGGAGTGTAAAATATTACATTTATGGAAACTGGTATGGAGGTTCCTCAAGAACCTAAAAGTAGAACTACTATATGACACAGTAATCCCACTTCTAGTATATAATGAAAGGAACTGAAATCTATATGTCGAAGGGACATCTCTACTACCATGTTCATTGAAGTATTTATCCACAATAGTTAACATATGGGAAGAAAGGGTATAAATTTATAAATAATATAAGGAATGAATGACACATATTCACAATGGAATACTAATCAGCCTTAAAAATCCTGTCATTTGCAACAACATGGTTGAATCTGGAGATTATGCCAAGTGAAGTAACCCAAGTATAGAAGGGCAGATGATCTCACTTGTAAGTAAAATATAATAAAATTGAACTCACATGAGCAGAAAGTAGACAATACTTACCAGAATCTAGAAGAGGTAGGTGAAGGAGGAAATGGGGATTTGTCAAAGGACACAAAATTGGAGGTAGGCAGGAAGAATAGCTTTGAGAGCTATTGCAAAGCAGGGTGATTATAGTCAATATTAATGTATTGCATATTTCACAATAAGAGAATACACTTCCAATGTGTCACCGTAAAAATGATACGTAAGTGAAGTGATGGTTATGTTAATTAGTGTGTTACTCAAGCTACATTGTACACATATATCAAAAACTCACATTTTACCCCCTAGGAACATACAATCATCAATTGTCCAAAAATCAGTCAATAAAGGGGTGTGAGGAAATTTTTGCAAGTGAAGAATATGTTCATTATCTTGAATATAATGCTGGTTTATATATATATATATATATATTCAATTTACCATAAATCAATTGTTCTTCAATAAAGCTGTTGAAAGTAAAAGTATGTTACATTTCAAATGCCAAACATTGGTTTTAGTTGTTACAGTAATATTTTTATACTACGGGAAAGAGTGATCAAAATATTTCATACAGAAATAGAACAATTTATATTAAAGGTAAGAGTAATTGAAATATTTCACAAGCAGCCAGCTGCTCTTAACCTGTCTTCCCATTCCAAAGTAATTCCCTCATTTTACATTTTGCTGTTAGCTGAAATTTGTATGTCATTTCAGTAACTGTGTGGTGGAGATATTAACTCTACATTGTGCAGTTAAGAAGGCCAAATAATCATCTAAAATATACGCTTAATAAAAAAAATGCTGACTGCTGGGTTACATTTGGGAAAAGAACTTTTAAATCATATACTCCACTCTGCAATGTAGTCATTGTAGCCTTCTTATAGTGTAGTCAGTAGTATTCTCTAGAAGAAGGTAGAATTTAGAGAAAAATCATAACGGAGAACATTTGTATCCAGGTGAGATTGGATACAAATACATATCAAAGACAAACAAACGGAAACAAAAAAATTACCAAAGAGTATAGTGTAGTCTGAGTTTTGGGGCAGAGGAAAGAGCAAGCCTACCCCAATTTTATGTTAGGGAAGCATTATTAAGAAGCAGACATTTTACTGTTCTTTACATACTATCTTATTTAATCCATGCAACAATCCTATGAAATCAATCTTGTTTTTAGAAAGCTGGGGCTTAGAGAAATTAAAACACTTGACTATGATCACCACACTGGTTGCTGTCAGAGCCAATGAGGTAGAAACATTACAATAGCACCTCCAATGTGTCACAACATTTATACAATCACTTGCATTAAATGTAGGCTGAATCTAGGACTTGTTTCAATCAAAAGACTTTGGCAGTGGCCGGCGCTGTGGCTTAGCGGGTGAAGCCTCTGCCTGCAGTGCCGGCATCCCATATGGGCACCAGTTTGAGTCCCAGCTGCTCCAACTTCTGATCCAGCTCTCTGCTATGGCCTGGGAAAGCAGTGAAAGATGGTCCAATTCTTTGGGCCCTTGCACCCGCGTGGGAGACTCAGAAGAAGCTCCTGGCTCCTGGCTTCGGGCAGCACAACTCCGGCTGTTGTGGCCAATTGGAGAGTGAACCAGCAGATGGAAGACCACTCTCTCTCTCTCTCTCTCTCTCTCTCTCTGTGTGTGTGTGTGTGTAACTCTAACTTATAAATAAATAAATCTTAAAAAAAGGACTATGGCAAAGATGAGGTAATTTGCAGATGGAACTAATCTTCCAGTTGATTCTGAATTACTCAAAAGGAGATTATCCTTGATAGAACTTACTTAATCAAGAGTAAAAGCCCTTCAAAGAGGATTTGGAGCCCTCCCGAGGTCAGAGTCTCCTGCAGACCTTGAGGAAGAAAGCCAGTGTGAGTTCTGCAGCTAAAAGGAAATGATTCTGCCAATGATCTGAAGAAGCTTGGAAGTGGATCATTCCGCTATCAAGCGTCTGATGAATATGAAGCCTGGCCAACAACCTTGACTGCAGCCTTGTGAGGCCTTCAAGGACCTAGCTACACTGTGCATATGTTTCTGATCTACAGAAATTGTGAGAATAAATATTCCTTGTCTGAAGATGCTACATTTGTGGTACTTGGGAAATAGAAATCCAATACAAAAAATATTGGGAATATGAGTAGTATATGAGTATTAAGTTGTTTTGTTTTGTTTTACAAGCCCTAATGGGCATGCCTATGTGTTTTCCCAAACAGCAGCCACTCTTGATTGATTGCCATAGCAAGGTAATCCCAATGCAGTTGACAAGGAGTTTAGTGTACAAATTCCATGTATTTGGCCAGCGTCGTGGCTTAATAGGCTAATCCTCTGCCTTGCAGCACCGGCACACCGGGTTCTAGTCCCAGTCGGGGCGCCGGATTCTGTCCCGGTTGCCCCTCTTCCAGGCCAGCTCTCTGCTATGGCCCGGGAGTGCAGTGGAGGATGGCCCAAGTCCTTGGGCCCTGCACCCGCATGGGAGACAGGAAAAGCACCTGGCTTCTGGCTTCGGATCAGCGCGATACGCCGGCTGAAGCGCGGCGGCCATTGGAGGGTGAACCAACGGCAAAAAGGAAGACCTTTCTCTCTGTCTCTCTCTCTCTATCTTGCTGTCCACTCTGCCTCTTAAAAATAATTAAAAAAAAAAACAAATTCCATGCATTTGAGGGAGAAATTTGGCCAGAGACCCTACAAAGGATTATAATCAGGCATAATAAACTCACACTCTACAACACTAAATCCAATGTTCTGTCAGTGGATTTAATAATAAGGAAGGAAAACAATTCAATGATTCATTGACAATAATGAAACTCCAAACAGATTTTAAACAATTGGGTAGGTGGAAAAGTCATTGTTATCACTAAAATTAATCAAGATCAAACAACTGTTTAGAAAAACTGATAATATTATGGAGTTTAATAGTTTTCCTCAAAGAACAAAGAATTTTCATGTTCTTCAGTGTGGTGGTCAATGTTCACACACAATGTTCACACAGTAGGTCATAAATATTCTAAGTTTAACCTGAATGCAGTATTGTGCTATAAAAGTAAACAAAGTCTCAATCAACATCAATTTGGTGAATTTCTGCAAGCTTTCTTCCCATAACAAACACACTTCTATTTTACAATTTTTTTCTCCCAATCTTGAACAGGTAATCAGAAGCAGACTGTAGTTGAGCAGATGCCTATTGGCCTGGTCTGTTAAGGTCTATTCCATCTCTGAAAAAATGTTACAAACAAATCTTTTCTTGGCAACATTTTAGAAAAACAAACTAAGTCCTAGAAGAACAAGCCACATTCCAGTTTATAATTGAGGGACTGTGTTTCTCATTGTAATGTGCTGTACTTATGTCCAAAAATCATACTACTGGCCTATGAGTCTCCCTTCTATCCTGAGTTTTCCTAGAATAGCACAAATAATTCTGCAGAAGCATTGACTCTCCCCACTGACTCAATCCAGCTAACTAGCCATCAATATCCATAACAATCTGATCGAATTCATCTGTAACATAAGAGTGATTGGGTTAAGAGTTCAGTATAGTACAATGTTGGCATTGTACAGCATGGATGGAGTAAAAACTTGGCCATATTAATATCGTTCAGACCTATTGTACTAACGACAATTATTGAATTGATTTTCTTTGCTATGTTATTAGCTGTAACACTTTGCTATGTCTTTTTGTTTGTTTGTTTTTTGTTTTTGTTTTGTTTTGTTTTGTTTTGTTTTGCATTTGTGACTCCAGACAGGATCCAAAGAAGAAACGAGCATCTCTTCTCTGGGTTTTATGGAGACTTACTTTCCCCTTCTGTGCTTTGCTATGGTTTTCTATTTGTTATAGGGCTTACAGTATGCATTGTGAAATTACTTCAGTCTACCTTTAGGTGATATTATACCACTTAGCATAGTTCTATTTGTTAAGATTTATTTACTATATTTGAAAAGCAGAGTTACAGAGAGGCAGAGGCAGATAGTGACAAAAAGAGAGGTCTTGCACCTGTTGATTCACTCCCCAGATGGCCGCAACAGCTGTAGCTGTGCTGATCTGAAGCCAGGAGTCAAGAGCTTCTTCCGGGTCTCCCACGTGGGTTCAGGGGCCCAAGGCCATCTTCCACTACTTTCCCAGGCCATAGAAGAGAGTTGGATCAGAAATGGAGTAGCTGGGACTCAAACCAGCACCCATATGGGATGCCAGCATTGCATCACTGCTTTACCCTCTATGCCACAGTGATGGCCTCTAGTTCTATTTTCTCTTCTTGATCTCTGTGCTATTTTCATTACATGTGGTATACTTAAATATATGTACACTTCATACATACATTTATGTACTATATTATGCAAGTACTTTACATATATTATAAAAATCTTTTCTACATTATTCTTTACAAAGTCAATTTTATTTTACAAAATTTAAATACTTAAAAAACTGGCGACCATGTATTTGTCATTTCTGGTGCTCTTTATTTCCCTATATAGACCCAAATTTCCTTCTGGTACAATTTTTCTTCTGCATTAAGGAAATCCTTTAATCTGTCATGTAGTGTAGGTCTTCTGTTATTAAATTCTTTTGTCCTGTATATATCTACAAGTTTATTTTGCAGCCATTTTAATAGACTTCTTGAGCTATAATTCAAATACCATAAGAGTTTTCAATTTAAACTGTATGATTCAATGATTTTTGGCATATCCACCAAATTTTACAACTATCACAATAAATGGGAAATCCATACCTGGTCATACAAGCAAACATTCACCATGCCCCACCCCATTCTTCCAAGCTTCTTTCTCTATAGATTTACCCCTTATGCATATTTCATATAAATGAAATCACTCAACATATGCTCATTTGCGGCTGGTTTCTTTCAACTAATAAAGTGATATCAAAACTTATGCACATTTACCAGTATCAGAACATCCTTATATTCTGGCTGAAATCTGAACTATTGTATGAATATAGTACAGTTTGTTGATGGATATTATAAGTAACTCTCAGATATATATTTGTGTGTGTGTGTTTATGTGGACTAAGAGATCTTAAAAATCCAAGGAAAATGTGCAAATTTGATTTTTTGCATCAAAATAAACTTTTAGCTTCATTTGTCTCTTAGTGTAGGCTTTTGGCTCCTCACGACATAGAATCATGTCACTTGCCAACAGGGATAATTTAACTTTTTCCTTTCCAATTTGTGTCTCTGATTTCTTTTCCCTGCCTAATGGCTCTGGTTAAAACTTCCAGGATTATATTAAATAGCAATGGTGAGAGTGGGCATTCTTGTCTGGTTCCAGATCTTAGTGGGAAATCTTCCAACTTTTCCCCATTCAACAGGATGCTGGCCATGGGTTTGTCATAAATTCTTGACTGTGTTGAGGAAAAGTTCTTTCTACACCCAATTTGCTGAAGGTTTTCATCATGAAAAGATGTTGTATTTCATCAAATGCTTTCTCTGCATCTATTGAGATATCCATATGGTTTTTGTTCTTCAGTTTTTTATTATAATGTATTACATAGATTGATTTGCAAATGTCGAATCATCCCTGCATAGCAAGGATAAATCTCACTTGGTTTGGGTGAATTATATTTCTAGTATGTTGGTGGATTCAATTGATTAGTATTTTGTTGAGGATTTTTGCATCTATGTTCATCAGGGAAATTGGTCTGTAGTTCTTTTTCTCTGCTATATCTTTTTCAAGTTTAGGGATTAAGGTGATGCAGCCTTCATAGAAGGAGTTTGGGAGGATTCCCTCCTTTTAAGTTGTTTTGAATAGCTTGAGAATATTTATAGTTAGTTCTTTTTTAAATGTCTGGTAGAATTCTGCAATGAAGCCTTCTGGTCCTGGGCTTTTCTTTGCTGGGAGTGAGTTTATTCCTGATTCAATTTCCATCTTGGTTGCTGATCTGTTTAGATTTTCTATGTCTTCATGACTCAATTTAGGTAGGTGTACAGGAATCTATTCATTTCTTGTAGGCTTCCTGTTTTGTTGGCATATAGGTCGTTGTAGTAATTCCTGGTAATTCTTTGTGTTTCTGTGATATCTGTTATATTTCCTTTTTCATCTCTAATTTTATTGATTTGGGCATTCTCTCTCTCTCTTTCTTTAGGTTATTTGGACCAGTGGTGTATCGATTTCATTTATTTTTACAAAAACCACCTATTTGTTTTGCTGGTCTTTTGTGTTTTTTTTTTTTTGTTTCAATTTTGTTTATTTCCTCTTCAATTTTAATTATTTATTTTCTCCTACTAATTTTGGGTTCAGTTTATTGTTGTTTTTCTAGGTACTTGAGATGCATTAGTAGCTTATTTATTTGGTGCCTTTCCAATTTCTTGATGTAAACACTATAAACTTTCCTCTTAATACTGCTTTTGCTGTATCCCATAAGTTTTGATATGTTGTATTGTTTTCATTCATTTACAGAAATTTTTTAATTTCTCTTTTGATATCTTCAATTGTCCATTCAGGAGCATGTTGTTCAGTCTCCATGTGTCTGCATATGTTCTAGAGATTTTTGAGTTGCTGATTTCCAGCTTCATTCCATTGTGGTCAGAGAAGATGCATGGTATTATTTCAATTTTTTTGAATTTGCTGAGACTTGCTTTATGGCCTGGCCTGTGGTCTTTCCTAGAGAAATTTCCATGCACTGGTGAGAAGAATGTATATTCTGCAACTGTAGGATGAAAAGTTCTGTAGATACCCATTAGGTCCATTTAGTCTATAGTGTCGATTAACTCTGTTGTTTCCTTGCTGATTTTCTGTCTGGTTGATCTCTCCATTGCTGAAAGTAAGGTATTAAATACCCCATTGCTATATATTGGAGTCTATGCCTCTCTTTAGATTGATTAACATTCTTTTAAATAGCCATGTGCCCTGTAATTGGGTACATATACGTTTATTATAGTCACATATTCCTGTTGAATTGATCCCTTAACCATTACAGAGTGCCTTTTTTTGTCTTTTTTAATCGTGTTTGTTTTAAAGTCTTTTTGTCTGTATTAGGGTGGCTACACCAGCTGTTTTTTGGTTTCTGTTAGCACAGACTATCTTTTTCCATCATTTTACTTTCTTTTCTTTAAAAGATTTATTTATTTTATTTGAAAAGCAGAATTACAGAAAGGCAATGAGAGAGAGAAAGAGAGAGGTATCTTCCATCTGCTGGTTCACTCCCCAAATGGCCACAATGGCTAGAGGTGTGCTGATCTGAAGCCAAAATCCAGGAGTATCCTCCACATCTCCACGTGGGTGCAGGAGCCCAAGAACTTGGGCCATCTTATACTGCTTTCCCAGAACATAGAAGAGAGCTGGATTGGAAGTGGAGTAGCCAGGACTTGAACTGGTGCCCATGTAGGATGCTAGCACAGCAGATGGCGGATTTACCTGACAAGCCATAGCACAAGCCCCTTATTTCACTTTCAGTCTGCCTGTATCTTTGTTGGCAAGATGTATCTCTTACAGGCAGCAAAATAAATGGATCTCTTGCTTTTAGGCCCTTCAGCCAGTCTGTATCTTTTAACTGGAAAGTTGATTCCATTTATATTCAAGGTTACTATTGATAAGCAAAGACTTGGTCATGACTTTCCCCCTAAATATTCCTATTGTTTACTTCAAATTTCTTTTGTAATTTTACTGGGAGATTTTCCTACCTTCACAATCTTCCATAATGATAACTATCTTTCTGTGTTTCTGTGTGTAGAATTTCCTAATACATCTTATGTAAGACTGGACAAGTTATGGTAAATTCTTTTAACTTCTGTTTATTATGGAAGATCTTTGTTTTACTTTCATTTGTAAATGAGAGCTTTGCAGGGTACAGTATTCTTGGTTGACAGTTTTTTCTCTTAAGACTTGGAATACATCTCACCATTCTCTTGCATTCTGTTGGATTTCTGATGCGAAGTCAGTTGTGAGTCTATCTGGAGATCCTCTGAAAGTAATCTGGAATTTCTCTCGTGCATATTTTAGAATCCTTTCCTTATGTTTTACTGTGGAGAGTTTGATGACAATGTGTGGTAGTGAAGATCTTTTCTGGTCATGTCTATTAGGAGTTCTATGTGCTCCTTCTACTTGGACATCCTTTTCTCCAAATTGGTTAAGTTTTCTGTAATTATTTCACTAAAAAGGCTTCTAATCCATTCTGTTTCCATGTCTTCAGGAACTCCTAATACCTGTATGTTGGGTCATCTGATAGTATCCCATAAATCTCCTATAATTTTTAAAATTTTTCTAATTTCTTCTTGCCTTTTTTTTGGTCTGACTGTAAAATTTCAAGAGTTTTGTGTTCTCACTTGGAAATTCTTGTTCTGCCTCACCAAATTTGTGTTGGAGCTTTCTACTTAATTTTTATTTGATCTATTGAATTCCTCATTTCTGAGATTTCATTTTGATTTTTCTAAAATCTCAGTTTCATGGGAAAAATTTTCATTTATGTTACGTATGGATTTCTTTATTTCATGGGTTTGCTTCTTATTGCTTCTAAATAATCCTACGATCATTTTTTTTTTAAATTTCAGCATTTCTTTAATTTCATTTAATTTCTGGAATTCCTTCAATATCTTCATCTTCACATGCTAGTACTGAAGTGTTGTTATGTTCATTTGGGGATGTCATGCTGTCTTCCTTATTCTTGTTTTTTGAAGTTCTGCATTTATTTTTAGACATTTGTGCAGATACTTGTTTGCTGTTTTTTCCCTATGATTACTTTTATCTTTGTTCTAGCCTCTGTGGCTTAGTAGAGTGTCTGCTCTTTCAGGGAATACACAGAGGTATATGCTGGATGTGGCCAGAAGACTATTCAGTGCTCCAGGGTGAGGGGAGTGTCCAAGGTGACATCTAAGTTGGGCATGGTAAGTCTT